TAGCGGTTTGGTGGTGTGTGTGTGTGTGTGTGTGTGTGTTTAGTACATTTTTCCCTCATGACTTCTTAAATTCTCCCAGGTCACCTGTATCCAGTCTCTTGATTCCAGAGTTCTTCTACAGCTTATGTTGCTGACCAGACTTGAAGTATCCATTTCCCACCTGCTCTCCTGAAGTTGCTGGTGTTTGCCTGGGCTACTCTAGTACTGTTCCTGTAATGAACTCCCACTTCTGGATTTAGATTCTTAATATTAATAGCATATTTATTACACAGTAATAGAACAACTGTTCAAACTAATGTATGCTCTAATAAGTCATTAATTAGAGAATAGTGATCTACTATAAAGTATTAAGAAATGTTAAATACTAATTACTAATTAATAGACCATAGTCATCTCAAATTGTTTTGGGAATTTATGGGATATAAATAAGGAAAAGAATGGATACATAGACCAGTAAGTTAACATTTGAATTGTACCTTTAACTAGTTTACAAGTGACTCAAAATGATCCTTAAATTAAAAATATGAATATTTTTTTAACTAAAAAACAACCCCAAACAGGTGGAGAACTCTTAGGATGATCCTTGTGTAGGTATGTGAATTTTATGGGTCCACTATAAGTTCTGCTATCTTTTTCATGTCTTTTCTTTTTTCCAATTGAAATTTTATTTCTCTCAAGTTTTCCTCCTTCACATTCATCCCTCTAATGGAAGTAGCCATTAGGAAACAGTGACCGAGGACTCATATCATAATAAGATAGCTTTTAATATGGCACTAGTATGTCCATGTTAGATGAAGCAAATAAGGAATATTTTCCATTGTTATGAACATGCACACTTTCAGATTTCTTTCTGAAGACAACAATTAATTTTAATTTGGACTATAAGACTCCCTGATGTATTTACTTTTATTTTAAATTTTTAACAATATTACATAATTTAATACTTTGCTCCAACACAGTCTTCTTTCAAATATTTCCATCTGGTTTCTGGTTATATTAGAAATAAAAGACTTTATCAAGTAAGGCCATCTTTAAGGAGACCTGGTGGCGCAGTAGTTTAAGCATTTGGCTAGGAACTGAAAGGTCAGCTGTTTGAACAGACCAGCTCTGCAAGGGTGCTTCCATCAAGAGAATAGCCTTAGAATCCTCACGGGCAATTCTGCTCTGTCCTACTTGGTTGATAGGAGTTGAAATCAGATTATTACAAGACCATTATTGTCCTGCTAACAATAAACGTTAAGATATGTAAGGAACAGTTGTTGTGCACCACAGAGTCACAATTGACCCATACCTGACTCTCCAGTGTGTTTTTTAGAGGTAGTAATTTACACAAGAGGAGATTGTCCATCCATCTTCTGCGTATATAGGGAATAGTGGATCAAAATTATATTTATTCATATTGGTTGTTATAAGGCCCTCTCAGTCTCTTAAAAATAGAATAATTATTCTGGGACCTATTTGTCTATTCTAAGTATTGCTGTCATCTTCAAAAGCATCATTGTCAGCCTGGGATAATATCTCCTGAGAATTTCTCCCTCTCTACTTTTTTTTTTGTGGTAGAAAGAGTAGGTAACTAGAACCGTGGTTAAACACTGCTTTTTCTTTCTTGAGTGAAGTTCACTGCTGGAGTACACCAGTTAGTTTACCCTTGTTCCTTCTTTGCAATGCTAAATGGAAATAATCAGAAAACGGTGCCAACTCTTAAGGGTAGTAAACCTGCTTTTTGGAGGACTAAAATGATAACGTAATGCAGTCATTTGAGTGATTCTCCTGTGAATGTTGACTGCACAGCCGTGACTGAACCTTGTGTGAGAGAGCCTGATCCTTTTGGTTATTTATACAGTATTTTGTAAGGACTTGAGATAATACTGTGGTGTAAAGCTCTTCCTGTAGGTCTTGATAATACCTTGTAGCCGAGGTAGTATTTATCTCACCTCTTCTCGTGGAAAACATGCTCTGTGTCTTGGTAACAAAACAATTGTTTTCTTACATGCCTTGTATATGTGAGGTTCACTGTTGTGTTTCTCCCTCCTGTCTTAGGATTTTTGGGGGACTTATTTTAGATATCAAAAGGAAAGCTCCATACTTCTGGAGTGACTTCAGAGACGCTTTCAGCCTGCAGTGTTTAGCATCTTTTCTATTTCTCTACTGCGCGTGTATGTCTCCGGTCATCACGTTTGGAGGACTGCTGGGAGAAGCAACCGAAGGTCGCATTGTAAGTATTGTGCCTTTCTCTGTACTTTGAAACTTAACTTTCTGAGAGTCATAGTGAGATAAGCGAGCATTTAATTTTGGATTCCTTTATGAAGAGAGATTTGATGTATGGTCTGTCAGACAAACTTCATATGAAATTTCCCAGATATATAGAGAAACTGATTATCTGAAAGTAGGCTATTTCAGAACAAATTATTTTGAGAAGTGCGCAGGGTTCTGATCTCATGCGTAGCTACTTCCCATATCTCCAAATCATGCTTTTATCCAGATCCTTACACCAAGTATATTTAAACTTTCAGTAAGGCAACAGAAAAGTGAGATTTGGAGGGTGGAGAGGACACATCCACTCTTTCTACTCTTCATTTTCTGCCTATGCTCACTCCTTTCCTCATCCTGTTATGCCACAGACTGCTTTTCGTTATGGTGCAGGAGCTTGTCATGTACTCATGCCTGAGATTCCCCCCCCCCCCAGCTGTGATCCCTGCCTGTACAGCTTAGGTAATGGAACCATTTATGTCTCTACACAGAGTGCAATCGAATCTCTCTTTGGAGCATCCATGACCGGGATAGCCTATTCTCTCTTTGGCGGGCAGCCTTTGACCATACTGGGGAGTACAGGACCAGTTTTGGTGTTTGAAAAGATTTTGTTTAAGTTTTGCAAGTAAGTGTTATATATCCTTGGCCCTTAGTCCGATTCTGTTTCTCTTATTTTGTTCACTCTCCTGATAATCGCATTCAGAGGTCTGCTAGGAGATGTCTGGTTTGACCTAGTTTGGAACTTTTGTCTCTCCATGGAAATAAAAAAATAAAATACGTGTATTTGACATTCAATACTAGATCTAATAGATTAAGGGGAAGGAGTTGTGCTGGCAACTCAAATGCATTGGTTCAAATCCACTATCTGCTTAGGAGAAGAAAGCTGAGCAATCTCCTCCCACGCCATTTACAGCCTCCGAAAGCCTGCCGGAGGGTCAACTATGAACTGATTCTGACTTGATGGCCCATAATAACAAAAACCAGCATTGAGAAACTCTATTTAGTTTGTTTTTTAACTCCTTTAGATGCTTTCTTCAGACAAAGTGCAAACCTTTACCACTAAGCCATCAAAAGCCTCCATGAGAGGCTGATTAGATAACTTAAAATTCTGTTAGACTCTGAAAGTTCATGATGTAGGCCATGGATCAATTTAAGGCATGGGCTCAGATATTCATTGGGTCTTAAATTTAATGACTTGTGGGATGTGAAGCTTGTTTTACTTTTACTTCCTTACTTGGGCTTATTTTCATTCACTTTCAATGTGCTGTGAAGTGACCCTTTCCCCCACTGTTCTTCGCTCTTCCTCTTTGTAGAGAATATGGATTGTCATACCTATCTTTAAGGGCTAGTATTGGACTTTGGACTGCAACCCTGTGTATCATCCTTGTGGCCACTGATGCAAGCTCCCTTGTCTGCTACATCACCCGGTTTACCGAAGAAGCTTTTGCTTCTCTTATTTGCATCATTTTCATTTACGAAGCCCTAGAGAAGTTGTTTGAACTCAGTGAAGCATATCCAATCAACATGCATAATGATTTGGATCTACTGACACAGTACTCGTAAGTACCGTTTTCCCTGTTCGCTATTGGTCTGGTCTTCTTATAAATCTTAGTATTGTAAAGAATATGAGAAATGAACTCAGCAGATTTTGTTGTTGTTAGGTGCTTTCAAGTTGAGTATGACTCATAGTAACCTTATGAATAATAACATGTCTGAGCCTATGAGTTAAATTGATTCATGGCCTAAATCATGGACTCTCAGAGTCAAACAGAATTTTAAGTCATCTAATCAGCCACTTAGGGGAGTGCTGGTGGCTTAGTGGTAAGGAACTGCACTTCCAACCCAAAGGTATGTAGTTGGAATCCACCAGCTGTGGGAGAAAGATGAGCAGTCTCCTCCTATGAGATTTACTACATCTGAAAACCTGCTGGAAGGTCAGCTATGTGTCAGTTCCAAGGGAACACAATCAGCCACTCGTGACATCTGAGTTCACATTATAACACCCTTGCTAAGAATATCTTGTTGAAGTCCTATTTGCTAAGCATTTTCTGAAACAAGTAGAGTGAGCTAAGGCTAGTGTTACTCTACAGGAATTTTGTTTGGTGTAAGTTTTGTTGCTTCAGTTTTCCTTTAGAGTCTTTCCTATTTAATGTTAGCCAAAGAAATTTAGTGATGAAGATAAAAAATTTTACAGAGTTGAGTATAAAAGAAACTCAGTAGTTCTAAATGGTGCTATTTTGATTTTTTTTTTAAATGTGATTAAAACATTTCGACTTGAGTTCATTTGCTCTCATGAGGCGTGACCTTTGTGATGGAGATACTCAGCTCTCACCTATTGAAGGTGATCTTAAAGTTTAAGATTTTAAATGGCAGTAGGAGACTTTGTATTTCTAGACTTGGTACAAAGCAATTTGGGATTTTTCTGAGATTGTGCTTTTAAATGTGGCCATTCTTTGGTTTAATTGTAGGACTTTTGTTGCATTTTATGTATGGATTTTACAACAGCAACTATTTGAAGCAATATGTTCTTTTTTTACAATTTTATTTTATATTGGTGTGCATTCAAAATCCACATACATTATATTTCTATATGTTCTTAAGAATGAGTTACATTAATTAATGCTATTTCTTGGTCTGGACGAGTATCTCTTTGAGTGTCTCACCCTCAAGCATGACTAGGGGGTCTGCGGGGACTTGCAGGGGGAAACCTCTGTGTCCCCCTGCCAACAGCAGCAAGCTTCTCTATCCCACCCTAATGTAGAATCTTATCCACCCAGAAGCCCTTCGCCCAAGCCTTGGACCAAATGAAACAATAAAGCTTTTTGCAACAGCTAAAAAAAATGCTATTTCTTTAAACTGCTGTGATATGACTTTAAATCATTGGGAGATTTTATAACCTCATATGCAATTATAAGACTTTGAAAGTGTTGAAATGAAACAAAAAAATGCAATGTTAAGATTTTGTCAAGGTAACAAGGCTTTTGGTACTTTAAATTTTTTTCTGAATCTTTAGAGATACTTGTAAACAGAGCCCTCCTATATTTGGACAACAGTGAAAGTGGAAATACAAAATCGCTATTCCAATAAATACCAATAGAGTAAGGGTGTTGTGAACAGTATTAAGAGGGGTATGAATGTAGGTTTAGGGTCACTCTGGAAACATGTAGATAGGAAGAAGAATTGGATCAGAATGAGGGATGATACCAGTACATGTGATTTATGCTTATCATAATTTGAAAACAATGTTATCACTGCCTATTCTTACTGGGATATCCTTAATGGAACTCAGGACGGTTGGTCTTTAAACATACTGCTTGTGCCAGGCACAGTGCTAGGGTACTAGGTGTAGAGTGCTATGGTACCATGGGAATAAGAGAGAACAAAACAAGAGGAATTAAGAAGGTGCTGAGGAATAGCGTAGGAAGAGGGTTTGAGACAAAGGAGACGGCAAAGTGTTGGATGCAAGAGTCTCACTAGTGCTCTGAAATATTTGTACAAAGTCACATAGTTACTGATTGAACAAGAAATTAAATCTAGCTTTTATGCCCCTGATGTAGTTTCCCTTGCACTGATAAACACACACAAGTTCTCCAAAAGAAGTGTGGAATACAAGGCTGAATTGTTCTTTCATAGGCAGATGCCTGCTGCCTGTCCTCCCAGCTGACTCTCAGCTGGAACTTCTTAGGAATTGCAGACCAAGAACCACAGCTTAAAATATTTTGCTTTTAAAATTTTTGGTAGAACAAAAGATAAGAGAAACAAAAGCTGAGTTCTGTGATTTGAAGGTTGAAAAACAATGCAAAGGATAGATAAAAATGGAAGAAGAGGCATCAGAAGTAGATCTCAAGGGATAAAAGGACATCAAGAATCTTTTAGAGAGGAAAATGGTATAGAGATCAAACAGAATAAGGGCACTTATTTAAAGAGATCATTTTTAACATCAAGAAATGGCTTGCATGGGGAGGGAAGTCATGACTAGAAGACAATTTGAAAGGAAAAACAAATATGAAGAGCATAGGCCATAAAGAAGTGGAGAAGTATGTCAAAGAGGTGAAAAAACAGTGTCTGCTGGAGAGGACAGTGGGATCAAAGGAGGATAATCTGGGATAGAAAAGAGCTATGCAAGTTTGAAAAATGAGTGCACAGAGCTAAAGGAAAGAGATTGGAGATGTCAGAGAGAGAAGAGACAAACATGGGGTTGCAATCTCCCAGAAGTCAGAGTGGTGAGATCCAGACAAACAGTGGGGTTAATTAAACGGACATCTCTTCTCAAGCAAGTGTTCAGAGGGTAATTTGAGAGCAAAAATAGCTTTATGTGCTCATGATCCCTGTCGGTCATGGTGAGCAAGAGAAGAGCAGCCTAAGGTCCTGATTTTCTTAATGTTGAGAGCTCTGCTTTTTAAACAGTGATACCCACAAGTGTGATTGCTCTGATCCCACAGTGTATCGAAAGCCTGATTATTTGAAGGCTGGGCACCAACATGTGCTAATTACTGTCTTTTATTTCCCAAGTGTCTATCTCAATCAAAATTAGGAATGTCGATAAAATGGAAAGACTGACTTGTCATAGCAGGCAGTGAAGTTTAAAGAGGCATCAGAAATAGGTGTAATACGAACAGAGGGGGTGGAGAGAGGAAGGGAGAGAGCATTTCCCTGACAAGGGACCCTCACTATAATGATCTCTGATGGCAGTTTTACCACCATGATCTCAAGGTTTCTAACAGCTTACACATTTCACATGTGAATCTCTGATTAGATACTGTCTGTCCTTGCTCCTTGTTTGAGAAACAAAACCAATCTCGTTTGCTTTGCCTGAAGTGTTTCTCTTTATCCATGCACATTTTTTTAGTCTGTGCTTTATAAATAGGAGCAACAGTTAATTTAATGTATTATATAATCTTATACATAAATAATTATAGCCGTCCATCAAGATCCCTGAGGCATTGTTTCAAGAACTCCTGCAGGTATCAAATATTCCATGATACTCAAATGCCTTATAAAAAATGGCATAGTATTTGCATGTAACCAGCACATCCTCTTGTGTACTTTAAATCATCTCCAATTTATTTTTAATGCCTAAAATAAAACCCCCTCAAACTCATTGCAATCAAGTCGATTTGACTGATTTCAAGACTGGAAAACTTAATTGGAGGAGACTGCCTATATTTCTCCAGCAGAACAACTGTTGGATTTGAACATCAAGAGAAGCTTTTCCTTCCAGTGGGCAGTACAGCACACTGAGGACTTCATCAGGAGCACATCTTTATAATACCTAATATGTTGTAATGCCTAATTAAATGTTATGTAAATAGCACTTACACTCCCTGATAATCTTTGAGGAAGACCTTTTACCACTTGTAAAAAGATCAAGGGCAGCATGGGACGGCCATATCTGGCCTTTACTAACTTCACAAAGAGGAATTGTCCCCATCAAAAACATCAGCAGCACAAAACCATTTCCCATGAGGTCAGGTATGTCCCTCATACTCGCACACATCTTTCTACCCATCGCAACACCAAGCTTACTGCTTTAATGGATCCAGAATCTGAGGTGATAGCTCACAGATCACATAGAACCATATTGGGGAAGTCAAAAGGCTTTAATTCAGATTAGCAGCTGAATACAGTCAAGACAACTTTTGAAATGTGCTTGCAGGTACCTCAGCCTTGAGCATTGTGGCATTAGGCTAGGGTTCTAAAGCTCTCAGTCCTGCCAGTTCTGGCTCTCTCCACCAGCTGTCCAAGAAATTTGGGCAAAGGCTCTTAGCTCTGGTTCCTCATGATCTAGCAGTTCAGGTCAGCTCTGTCTCATGTTGGGTCTCTGGTTCTCCTCTGTGGCTACTATGGCTGCTGCTCCATTACACCCTAGTCTGGCTGTAAAAGAGTCTCTGGCCTCAAAGGACATGTTCCATTCTCTTGCTTTTTCTTTGCTGACAAGTGAGGTTTTTCCTATTCTGCTGCTAGTACTGTGGAATTTAATGGTGAGACCATCCAATCCTTTTGAGGAAAGGCTAACACACCCTTTGAGCATATTTCCACTCAGCCACATGGCAAAGTCAAAGACAAATGGCTAGGGAAACAATTTTGCACACTGAACCCTGAACACCCCACCACGTGATTGCTTTTTTATCCCTCTTACTATGTTCACTCTGTTCTTACTTTAATTGACAGATATGCAGCAATTGATTGTACTATTTCACAGAATTCACATGACCTTTTTAAGTTACTTTCTTGTTCTTACCAAGGTGCCCTTTTCACACTAAGCAGTTTATAAGTGTCGTTATGGAAATGACCACCTAGAACTTTCCACTCCTACAGTTGCTGGCCACATGCTTTCACAGAAAATTTTGAGATCAAGATTCCTGGGCTTTGCTTGTGGATGTAAATGCTCAGAATTTTCAAGTTAAACAGAGAATTATTCAGCAAAAGGGATGTGTTTCTTCCTCAGAGTACTGGTTTGTTAGGGATGGGCAAATTAGAAATTGGCTGTCTAAAATGGGGATATTCCAAGAGGTGGGGAGAGTGGGAGCAGAGGGCTTATGATTGGCATGGGCAAATC